CTTTTCAAACTGCAGGAGCTCAAAAGGTTACACAGAATTTGTATGTTGACTAAGCCCTGGTCTACACTGGTGGGGGGGATTGATCTAAGTTACACAACTTAGTGACGTACTTAGATCGACTTACCGTGGTGTCTCCACCACAGTGAGTCAACTGCTGACCCTGCCCCGTCGACTCTGCCTGCGCCTTTCGAAGCACTGGAGTACAGGAATTGACGGGGAGAGTGCTCGGGGCTCGATTTACCACGTCTAGACTAGACACGATAAATCGATCCCCACTGGATCGATTGCTGCCCGCCGATCCAGCGGGTAGTGAAGACATACCCTAAGAAATACCTACTGTAGTTGCAAATGAGAAAAAACATGGAACAAGGGCTAACAACAGATGACTTTCCTAAGCATTGCTAACCTAGTACCATCTTATGTTCATTTATGGGGGAGGGAAGAGGAGGAAGATTTATTAGATTTTTATTCTTCAGATTCTTTAGTTAAACACAATCACTGAAAGTTTTGTTATAATGTAGTTTGAAATTTGTTTTTAGATATTAGCCACTGTCCGAATTAGTGCAAAGACAACTACGTTAGCCATCAACTTTCTCAAAGGCCACAACGAACATCTTGTTCTAGTTTATTAAATTCATCATGAAGCTGTCAAGTTGCTGAAACCTAGTGGTAGCTGATTTGAGGTTTTGCATCTATTCTTAAAAATTGATTAAATAGACAAATTAAGCTTACAACGTTGAGTGAAAGATCAGGTTTCCAAGGAGATGGAGCCTGGGCCCTGAATACATAGTCTAACATTATATTTCTTTTCACAGATTGGATTAAAACATCAGATAAAATATGTAGCTTCTATTGTTAGAGTTGTGCACGTAATCTGATGGAAAAGGTGATGAAAATATACCCAAGTAGGTGTCATTTTTATACAGCAGGGTGTATTTAATGCAGAATCAGCCATCATAGTTTAAGGTAAAACAGTTAACTAGCCATAGTTTTTATAAAAGAGTTTTTTTATAGGCTATATTAGATTACTTGAAAACCCAAAACATATAATTTCCCCAACCTTTAAAACTAGAATATTTCAATTAAATACAGCAAAAGTTAAGATTTCAAAACACATTGTTAACTTGTTGTTTTTCCTGAATCTCACACATTTAAACAGCACTATACGAGGGTACACATTTCATCAGGAGAACTAGAACACTGCATGCACAGTTCTGCCAAGTTCATGTTTTGCGTTAAAAACTTTTTGAAATTTAGGACTTCTATTCCAAGTTCTTCAACCTTGCCATTAGATTTTGCATTTAATTTCCCTTGCTTTCAAGGGAGAAAAAATTAGTAAAGGGAACAGAAGGCAGCCATATCTGCAAATATCTGAAAATTTTGAGCCAGTTTAGTCATCCCTGTAGAAAGCTGAGTAGAAAGTACTCTAGGCGTATGAGTGAAAATGCCAACTTTAAAAAAGTCGTAACTTGTTTTTTAAAATATACAACTTTCTCTTTAAGCTTGGATTGTGTGTGTGTGTGTGTGTGTGTGTGAGTGAGAGTGAGAGAGAGAAAAAAAGCTTTAGGAGAGATGATTCTTGTTTACACGTCTTTCATCTACATGGCATTTTTATGCAGATTTATAACTCAACCTGAATAGATTGATCAAATTTTTGAAAAAAAAAAAAAAAAAATTTTGTTTGGGGCTAAAATCATACTTGGAAAACTTCAGTCCAAAAGTTTTTGATAAAGTTATGAGGAACAGAATGATACCTATAACTCATTCTTAGCTATTGTTTTTATAGTGTTCACAGTTAGTGAATGCTATGGGCCCAATTCTGAGAGCGCTCTCCCATCAGCTTAATTACTCCAGCCCCTGGAAGTGGTGGTAGCTATGTCAGTGGGAGAAGCTCTCCTACTGACATAGTGCTGTCCACACTGGTGCTTAATCAGGCATATGTTATGTCGCTCGGGGGAGGGGTGTGATTTAGCCACAAGCGACATAAGTTATGTCAACTTAAGCTGTAGTGTAGCGATAGCATCAGTCTATTCAATTCTCAAACAGATATTGGCACTTCTAGGCCAAAATCAGAGGTACCGTCGGGGAATTTTGAGAGTTAATTTGGTACAATACACCAGAAAAAGATCATCCGATGAAGTGAGCTGTAGCTCACAAAAGCTTATGCTCAAATAAATTTGTTAGTCTCTAAGGTGCCACAAGTACTCCTTTTCTTTTTACGGATACAGACTAACACGGCTGCTACTCTGAAACCCATAAAAAGATGGAGACTTAGTAAGAAAAATGGAAATACACTAAGTCTTAAAGGACAGGATTAAGATAGCAGTTCTCATTAAAGATAGTCTAATGTTCATATTAGTTTTACTGATTAGATATAGTTCATAGTGACAAAAGCTTGAATATTATTCTTTTGGACGGTTATTATACTTTCAGGATTAGAGAGACAAAGTGGGTGAGATAATATCTTTTACTGGACCAACTGTTGGTGAGAGAGCCAAGCTTTCGAGCTTCAAGAAGAAGAGCTCTGTGTAAGCTCAAAAGCTTGCCTCTCTCACCAACAGAATTGGGTCCAATAAAACAGAGGTTCTCAAACTGGGGGGCGCAGAATGTATTCTGGGTGTGTGTTAGAAGCTTTAGGAGAGCTGATTCTTGTTTATGCATCCTTCAGCTACTTGACATATTGAAAGTTAAAGAGGGGAAATACAGGGTTTTTAAATTCTGGAATTTGAATAATTTAGTAGAAAGTGGAGGTATCTGAAGAGATGAATTTCTACTGTTCTCAAATGGGACTTCAGAAATTTGGTTTACCAATTATAAACCAATTAAAAATAAAAATCATTGTATTAGGAAGCCACAGTAATTGTTCTCAGTACATTAGTACATTTTATTAAAGTGTATTATATTTACTTTCACAACCTGTGCTTCATTAAATGCCAGCATCAAGATCAACAGAAGACACCATGGATACAAATAACAGCTACCAAGGAACACCCTGTGCAGCAACAGTACTAAATATGACAACTTCCAAACAGCTAATCAAGAGTAAAACATCTTTTTTATTAAAAAAAGCAAGCACTGGGGGGAAAGCACCCCACCAACTAAGTGAAAAATTCTAAACTTATCAGCCCATCATTTAGATCACTGAGGCAGGGACAGTCTCTTACTTTCTAACACAGTGGTTTTCAACCTGCGGTCCACAGACCCCTGGGAGTCAACAAAAGGTTGTCATTACTATAGAACAGTGGTTTTCAACCTGGGGTCCGCAGACTATGTTTAAGATTTCCAGAGGGGTCCACACTCCATCTGAAAAATTTTAGGGGCCCACAAATGAGAAAAAGTTTGAAAATCACTGTTCTAACACAAGGGGACCTCTATTGGGCCTCTGAGTGCTACTATAAATGTGTTTACTACATAAATTTTTTGTTCTCCACACTATCCCATTCGTCACATAAGCAAACCCTTCACCAGGTTTATTTATGGTAGACAGTGGAGACAGCCAACTGTGGAATAGCAGGCCCACGGGTGACCTAGATAAAGAGGGACCAATACGCTTTGGTTCAGTGATTGAACTCAGCTCTGCTAAGTAAGACAGCAAGGCAAATTTGAAAAGACTGCCAACCACTTCAGATATGATCAAACAGCAAGACTCTCTGGCCTACTACTCTTTGCCCCACTCTTTCTTCTGACTCTGCAAAATGGTGAAAGAGTCTATTCAAATACTGCTTACGGGGAGACTGGGAGCCCTCACACTTTGGAGAGCACATGAGGGGACCGAACCACACTTTGTTCCAGCACTGGACATTTTCAGCACAGAATAATTATTACTATTACTTCAGATTTACAAGTAAAGCAAATTATTTTAACCAATGTACTAAGATAGACTCTAAGCCAGGGGTTGGCAACCTGCGGCACACGTGCCAAAGGCAGCACTCTGTTGCCAGCCGGGGTCTCGGCCGCCAGCCCCGCTCAGCCCGCTGCCAGCCTGGGGTTCTGTCTGCTGGCCCCTGTAAATATAAAATGTATTATTGGCATGCCAGACCTTAAATTAATGAAGACTTGGCATGCCACTTCTCAAAGGTTGCCGACCTCTGCTCTGAGCACTAAGAACTGATGCATGACATCTTCCACCATGTAAACTATAACCAGCGGAATCCACCTGCAGCTTCTCCTTCTGTGTAGTAATAAGCCCATTTCATTCTGTTTGGCTTCTTAATATTTCATTAGGTTCTTATATAACATGCTTATGGTTAACTGTTGTCATTTATTACACCATACAACAGGGGGTTATTTAACAAAAACAAACCCTGAGTCGAACCAGTCAGTGTGCCTTATCCATGTCTGGAAGGGAGGGGATGCTGCTCTCTTCTCAGAAGGAGGCACTCTGTCTATTCCCCCACCTCTTCCCTCAGGAAGCATTGAAAACTATGTACACTGGGGATTGCGGGTGCGGGGGGGGGGGGGTATGGGGACTGATGACCTCTAATGTAGATACAGTGTGTGTATATATATATATACACACACATATTTGTAATATTTGGGTGTCCACAAACACTCTCTCCCCCCATACAAACAACCCACACCCATCCATACATCCCCCCAACATACACCCCCCACTTCCAGCCCCTCTATATACTCCAACCCCCTTGCCTCCACCCCTCCATACACCCCCAAACTCCCAAGATACACCCCTCCGTACGCCCCCAAGATACACCCCCACTCCTCCATACACACACACACACACGCAACCCCAACACCCCACTCCCTTCCCCTGACCCCTCCATGTACACACGCGCCGCCACCCTCCTCCGCCTCCCCCACGCTCCCCTCGCCCCCAGTCTCTCTTGGACTCCGGAAAGGAAGCGCCCCCCGACTCGCGCCCCCGCACTCTCCCTGACAGCAACCTCTTCCCCGCTCTGACAGGAGTTCCCCCCCCTCCTCTGCCCCCCTCCCGGTCCCACCCGGGTCCCTAACCGGCACCAGCCCCGGCCCTCTCTCCTCACCGTATAGGGGGGAGGGGGTCGGTGCCCCTCTGCAGCGCGGCGAGGGCTGTGAGCAGCGAAGGCACCCCCGTCCCTGACCTACTTTCCGCCTGGCTTGCCACTGAACGTCGCACCACTAACCTACTTTCCAGCCAATGGCTTCTCCCCCCGGCCCGAGACCTAGCGCCCTTCTCCGCCAATGACCGAGCCGCTCTCAAAGGTCGTCGTCCAATGGCCTGCAAGCGGGCCTCCAGGACCTGCCCCTCAGAACTCCGACCAATCCGCGCACGTCCAAGGAGAGGGACCCAATCAGAAAGGGACTTCGCAGTTTTCCTCCCGCCTCACAGAAGGTCTAAGTAGGGGCTGGGGAGGGGGAGGCGGGGCGTGCGTGTTCGGTGAGGAGGCGGAGTCAGCAGTGGCTTAACGCTCGGGTTGCGGGCGGGACCCGGATGTAGCGCCTTGTTGGTGCTGCTGGGCGCGCTTCTGACCACCGTCGGACTCTGGGGAGCACTTTGGCGGCGGACTGGCGCGGGTCTTTGAGCAATTCTTCCCCTGGGTCAGTTCACCACAGCAGCTTCACACGGTTGCGGTGCCATCATCATGACACCACCCACCCTGCATGTCATTGCCATGACATCACTTTAGGCCACTACGTCATCACCTCACCCTGCAACGTCACTACAATGTCACCACCTCATAGTGCAGGGTCACTACCTTACACTGTTACATCATCACTGCCAGTGTGACATCGCCACCTCGTGCTTCTATGTCATCCCCAGCCCCGTAGCGCTACTGCCTCATGCTTTGGTGTCCTCCCATCATGCCATAGCAGCTCCTCGCTGTTACTCCTTCAGTTTGCTGCGTCACCACAATGGCCTTCTCTAGGGTTGCCAGCCGTCCAGTTTTCAACCAGAATGACCAGTCAATAAGAGACCCTGGTAGCTCTGGTCAGCACAGCTGACTGGACCGCTAAAAGTCTGATTGGCCGCAGCGGCCGGCTCCATGCGGCTCCCAGGAGCATCCAGCATTTCCCTCTAGCTCCTAGGTGCAGGAGCAGCCAGGGGGCCTCTGCACGCTGCCCCTGTCCACGGTGCAGGCGCCGCCCTGAGCTCTGGCTTCGCAGCTCCCATTGGCCAGGAACCGCTGCTAATGGGAGCTGCGGGGGCAGTGCCTACGGACAGGGGAGCACGTGGAGCCCCTGACCACTCCTGTGCCTAGGAACCAGAAAGACATTACTGCTTCCTGAGGTAAGTGCCGCCTGGAGCCCGCACCCTGAGCCCCCTCCCGTGCCCCAACTGCCCTCCCCAGCCCTGATCCCCATTCCACACCCAAACTCCCTCCCAGAGCCTGCACCCTATACTGCACCCCAATCCCTGACCCAGCCCTGAGCCCCCTCCTACACTCCAAACCCTTTGGCCCCAGCCCAGAGCCCCCTTTGCACTCCAAACCCCTCATCCCTGGTCCCACTCCAGAGCCTGCACCCCCAGCCCAGAGCCCATACCCCGGCCCGCACCCCAAACCCCTGTCCCAGCTCAGTGAAAATGAGCAAGTGAGTGAGGGTGGGGGAGAGTGAGTGACGGAGGGAAGGGCGATGGACTGAGCGGGGAGTGGAGCCTCGGAGAAGGGGCAGGGCAGAGGGCCTTGGGGAAGGGGCGGGGCAGGAGGTGAGGCAAGGGTGTTCCGTTTTCTGCAATCAGAAAGGTGGAAACCTAGCCTTGTCTCATGATGCTATATCATCCCCATTGTGTGACAGCATTGCTTCCACTGCTGCATCATTGCCTTGAACCATGATGTCACTCACAGCGTCATCAAAAGGAACCCTAGAAATCCGTTTGCCAGGGAATTTGCATTTTTACAGAGAATCTTTAGCTTTTATATTTGTGAAAAAATAAAAACATATACAGTGGAACCCCGATTATCTGATCTAATTGGGACTGGGGCCAGATTGGATAATCAATAATTTGGATAATCAGGAGAATGTGCAGGGCTCGGGCTATCAGCTCCACGCAGCAGTGCTTCAGCTTCAGCCCTGGGCAGTGGCACTTGGGCTGTCAGCTTAAAAATTGTAACTATATCAATAAAACATTGTGTTCAACTGATACCTATATATCGAGGTATGGGAAATGAAAGTTCAGTGTTTCATTTAAATCAAGGGAAAATGCAAATTTTTATGGGTTTTTTTCATCAGATAATTTTGGGTTTTTTATCACGGAAAACTAGGATCCCTGGTCGTCATCTTGCACCACCAGAACGTGCTCAGGGTTACTTCCTTGGGCTTCTACATTATCCCCTTACGCTACAGCATCACTTCAGTACTACTGCCTCACACTTATCCTTATCCCATAGTGCCTTGCACAACATTGTCCTTGCAAGATTCCCTCACAGGGTTCATAGAGTGTCACAGCAGTATACCCACAGCATCACCACCTCACTGCACCCCAGCTTTGCTACCAAATACTATACCATTTCACAATATGCTCATGTAGTGCCCAAAAAGTTGCTGCGTCTTAATGCAATATTGTTATACAGCTCTTAAAATGTGCTAGTCACTTTACAGAACATAGTAAAGCCACTCACTGGCCCAGTTTACAGCCTAAATTTAGACATGCTAAGAAGTGAGTAGGAAGAAACATGGACATCTCAGTACTTGTACACAGTAGGGATGTGTTGCACCACTGCATAATCACAATGTTGCATTCATATGCTGTACCACACCCAAACATTGCATTGTATTATCATTACACCAACTTCTAACACATTATCCCATTGCCTCAAAATCTCCTATGCTATCCTATCACGTCATCACATCAAAATTTCATCTAATGTTTATTAGCATCGCATTGCCTCAGAAGTTCACACTGCAATATTATTTTGTCATAACATTATCATTGTTACTTCAGCCCATCATCATAGAACATGATCTCATCTCATGGCAGCATCAAGGTCTGCTTGCTCTTAAATTGATTTGGGACTTGTGAAGATTGACCACAAGTGGCCCTTGCAGGATACAGAATCTCCCTATTCAAATCAGGAAGATCTTAAGTAGCAACCCTCCAGCGAGTCATGGTAAATAGCATATTATGTATTCAGCAAATGAAAATACACACCATATGGGAAAAAAGAAGGAGAAAATACATTGCTTGGTTGGGAAGTTTAAAAATATTTTTGAACACATACAGGTCATGCAGCTGGAGGAATTTCTCTGGCGTTTTCTTATCCATGAATTTTTGCAGTTTTCATCACTGTTTCCTTCCACCTTAAAGAAAGATTCTCCATACATGCATGTCCCATCATCTGGGTTAATGCACAGTAATTATTGGCCAGGGAATTATGCCAATTGCCAAGCATACTGATATGCATCTATTCCTGTGGGGAAGTAGGCATACAGTAGGTCATATGTTGTGATTTCCCACCTATAGTCACTTTACATTGGATAGTTTTTGTTACTGTACTTTCTATTAATGAGGTATTAAAGAAAGTGACAACATCAGGTGGATCAAATCCAGGCTTACCAACCATACATTATTCTTTATTTATATTTTTTAATTGTTAGATTAAGCTTAGATTGCAAGTTGCAGGAAACATCTTGCTTGCTGCAAGTTTATAAATAACTTTATAAGTAACTATTATATATTAAAACTGTTAAGGTTGCAAAGACAAGCAATAAAGAATTAGGAAGTGACAGATTTAAGATTGATGTGAGTTGGGTCTGCCATGTTTGATGGGATTCTACTCCCATCTCTGCCAGAATTGACATTGTTTCACCTCTCAAGTACCATATTTGTAAAATGGGAGGTGGGGGGAAAGATATGAGAAGGTATTATACTTGTCTGCCGCTTAGGGTAGCAGCATCAGACTGTGGTCAATAATAAATATTTGAAGTGTACAGAAATATTAACAGCAGTAGATAGAAGAGGAGACTTGAACTTATGGGCAGTGCACTTTCCCTTAGGCTAAAGGGTATTCTGATGGGGAGATATCTCTCAAAATTCAGAACATACTGGGAAGTACAGCACATCAGAGCACTTTGGGCAGAAGTCTTTACAGTACTGGTAATCTGTTAGTGGATCACAACACTATCAGTCATTGACATAATCATGCCACTCTACAGTTCCAAAACAAGGTCTAATAATGTTTTATTTTTAAAATTTCACACGTTGTTCTTCATATCATGCACTAGATCTCATTTCAGAGAAATAAGTTTGTATATCTTAACCCTCATTTATTCTCTATCTGTGCACTAAAAAAAGCATTAAAAGACTTTTGAAACTTTGAGAGCAGCTGATATTTGGGAGTGCTATATTTCAGGAACCCCCTGTTCAAGTGGCCTAAATTTTTACCCAGTTACTCTATCCAGACCCTGCACCTGGCTCAACAATTTTCAAGGCTGGTGTGGGTTTTAGAGAGGAAGCAAATTTTGGCTTTAAACAGAAATTTAGTTGCAACCTTAAGTGGTTGCTCCATAATAAATCAACTGAAGCCACTGCAGTGATTTTCTTTAATTAACATGAGAAATATAAGCGGATTAGTAGTTTTTAAAAGTTAATATTTGAAAAAAGGAGAGAAAAAGCTTTTACATGATGTTTATCTAGAAAGTTGATGATGAAGGGGACATTTATCATGAGAATGTTTAATCTATCTTTATTCTAGAGTATTCATTTTGACATTCATTTTGGGTTCAAAAAATTAAATAAATGTATGGAGGATAAGTCCTTCAATGGCTATTAGCTAAGATGGTCAGGGATGCGACCCCATGTTTTAATTGTGTTTTTTCTGAAACATGATTCCTGGCCTCAGTTAAAGATACAGAGAGAGAGAGAGAGAGAGAGAGAGAGAACTGTCACTTAAGGTCCTGTGGTACATTCAAAAGTCTGGAAGCATTACCCTACAGATTTTTTTAAATGTATTAATTCCAAGTTTATTAGCACCTAACTGTAGACTCACAATGTTTATTATTGCATCCAAACAATGTTTTTTGTATTAGTACTTTTTTGAAGAATATTTTTTCCAACTCTTTTTTCTTGCATTTTGAATTTAAGATATCTACATGGATGAAATCTATAACTCCTAGAACTGACAGAAAATTAGCAAGGGTGAATAAAATGCATTCATGGCTTGCTACTGTGCTTGTGTGT